CGCGGGGGATGTCCAACTGCCAGTTTAGGCCAGATTGGGCCTAAACTGGCAGTTGGACATCCCTCTCACAATCCGGACCCCTCACTCCTAACCACCCGCCTGCTCGCTCCTAACCGCCCGCCTGCTTGCTCCTTACGACCTGCCTGCTCACTCCTAACCGCCCGCCTCCTCGCTCCTTACCACCCACCTGCTCTCTCCTTACCGCTTGGCTTGCCGCTCCTTAGTGCTGCCGTGGAGGCAGGAGAGGCTACTGCCACCACCGCTGCACTTGCCAGCCATGAGTCCGGCTTCTGGCTGAGCAGTGCTCCCGCTGTGGGAGCACACTAACCACCGGGAGAAGCTTTTGCGTTGAGTGTCTGCCCCATGGTGGTCAGTGTGCATCATAATGACTGGTCGTTCCACTGTAAAGGTCGCTGGGCTTTCATTTATATGTATATGTATATGTATATGTATATGTAAATAAACATTCGTCATCTTTAGCAATACAAAATTACAGTAACGCTTCTGCCCACAGCATGCAGTTTCTCCATTACCTCTAAGATGTACAAAGCACAAGCTACCATTGAAACCAGATGTTCACAACTGCTTCCAAACTTCTCCCCTCTTCTCATTTCTTATTATCTCAGACAGATGCTCCCTCCTTCCATACCAGCAGTGAAGTGAGGTTGAATTACTATTTGGGGTAGGGGATAGCTGCAAGCACTGCCATAGCTGGGTGGCCCAACCCTTATTCCAACTCCCTCCCTACCTGGTTTCTATCTCCCAGCCAAACTGGCCAGCCCCTGGGGTAGACTCTTATTTCTGGAGTTCACTCTGTTCTCTCATAAAACAATGCTCAAGTGTCTGCGGTATTAAAAGACGCCAAGAAAGCTTCCACTAAAACTACAAACCAAAGAAACTGCAGGAAGAGGTGTATAGCCTACATACTTTTCTGCATGCAAGAAGAAACACCACCTGATAAAAGTCAACATCATGCCACAACCAATTATTTGAATATTCCCTGCGTATCTCCCCACTGGACATCCAGAATATTACCTTATGTTACCTCTTACCCTAACCTCTGTCAGCTTTCTCTCTGCAGCCAGGCGATGGGCTCCAATTTACTCACTCTCTCTTGCCTTCCCATTCTTTCAACCTATAGATCCCGATATTCATTCATGGTATTTCTCTGGCTGGAAATGTCTGGAAGTCTCTTTTCCACCTTGCAAAAGCAGCGAGGGAAGACGGGCTCCTCCATTGAGGATGAGGCCCGGGGTTCTCCAGATCCGGAGCCCAAGGACTCCAATTGCTACACCATCTTTCTTTCCCTGCAGCCCAGAGCTGACCTGAGTGGACAGGGGCAGCACATCCTGATCCTGTCGGTCCCCGCCCCGTCAGCTATCAAACCAACAGCAGGTGCTGCACCCGGATTCCAGCCGTCAAGGGGGTGAACGCTGCGTCTACGGGAAAATGGCTCTTCCTCCCAGCCCGCCTCAGCCCCCGAAGCCACAGACCAGCTACCACCATCACCAGTTCCCTCCCCGTCGGGACGGAGACATGCTGAAGCTCGTCACCGCTAATAAATGACAAGGGCATTCTACTCCGCGGACCCGGCCAGCAGGAAGGTGGGCGAGGGATGACTTTGTATTGGGTGGCTGCCTTCCACATCCATCCCGACGACTCCCCCTCCCCGGAGCCGCCATGAGCGGTGCAGCCCCCACATCCTCCGAAGCGCCGCAGGGAGGCACGGGGGGTACAAAAGGCACTGGCCCACGAGGACTTACAGATGCCAGTCCCTGCGGGGTCTGGGGCAAGTCCGGGCCGACTTCCATCCTCTCCACACCCCTGGCCTCCTCGTCCGCCATCTTGCGGGGAACTGACGCCTGCAGCTGCAGACCCCTGGCCGGAGGCGAGCGGAGACCTGTGGCCGGTTCCAGCGGCGCGGGACGACACTTTTACGACGGCCCCTGGAGTCGAATTTGACGCAGAATTGAACAGCGGCTTCCGGTGCGCTTCCCGGAAGCAGGCGTCACGGTTCTTGGGGCGCGAGGGTCTCCCTTCCCTACTTTCTTAGTCGTAGAGCTCGGTGGCTGAAGGTTGTGTGTCTGGTTTCGGTGCTGGGAACTGTTGCATCTACGAGGTAAAAAAATAATAATAATAAAATAAAAAAAAATCGGCGTCCGTTGTGAAAGGGACAAAAAAAGCCGGGGCCAGGGTCTCCTGGCCGGGTTGTTGGTGTAGGTGTGTTTTGTCTCTCAACGTACCTGCTGCGGTTCCCGGGAGAATGAAAATGAAAAAGGACTCAAAGCCATCACGTCTTTAGGAAGGTAACCCGTGGGCACATGCGCATGCGCACAGTAAAACTCAGGCCCCAGCGTTTTGGGGAGTGGTAGTGAAGAAATAGCGAAAAATTGGGAACCTATTCATCGGTGGAGGGAAGATAAAATTAACATGGTAATCTGCATTATGGAACACCGTGCATCTCTTAAAAAGAACAAGGTAGATCTATGTAGAAAGATAAAGATAACAAGGGAGGAGGGGGGAAAAACAGTCAAGTAGCCACAAACCTTATATTTAGGCTTACATCAATTTAAATGCGAAGGAAACATCCTGAAAGGGAAGAGAACAAATGGTAGTTTGCTCTGAAAACCGGAAGAAGAGTAAGGTGGTCAAGAGCTACTTTAGCTTCATCTGTAGTTCTAAGTTGTTTGCAAAACATCATTTTAAAATGTATTTTTTTAATAAAGGGGAAAATAATAAAGAGTTAACTCTTTGGCATTAGATTAAGTCAGATCTTCAAATCATAAAAATGATTTTTAATGAATTTAAGGGTGAGGTAATAAAAAGTAAAGTGAATATAAACAAAAGTAAAATATAGCCCAGCCAGCATGGCTCAGTGATCGAGCATCATCCTATGAATCAGAAGGTCATGGTTCGATTCCTGGTCAGGGCATATGCCCAGGTTGTGGGCTCAATACCCCGTGTGGGATGTGCAGGAGGCAGCCAATCAATGATTGATGTTTCTATCTCTCTGAGACATGCTGAAGCTCGTCACCGCTAATAAATGACAAGGGCATTCTACTCCGCGGACCCGGCCAGCAGGAAGGTGGGCGAGGGATGACTTTGTATTGGGTGGCTGCCTTCCACATCCATCCCGACGACTCCCCCTCCCCGGAGCCGCCATGAGCGGTGCAGCCCCCACATCCTCCGAAGCGCCGCAGGGAGGCACGGGGGGTACAAAAGGCACTGGCCCACGAGGACTTACAGATGCCAGTCCCTGCGGGGTCTGGGGCAAGTCCGGGCCGACTTCCATCCTCTCCACACCCCTGGCCTCCTCGTCCGCCATCTTGCGGGGAACTGACGCCTGCAGCTGCAGACCCCTGGCCGGAGGCGAGCGGAGACCTGTGGCCGGTTCCAGCGGCGCGGGACGACACTTTTACGACGGCCCCTGGAGTCGAATTTGACGCAGAATTGAACAGCGGCTTCCGGTGCGCTTCCCGGAAGCAGGCGTCACGGTTCTTGGGGCGCGAGGGTCTTCCTTCCCTACTTTCTTAGTCGTAGAGCTCGGTGGCTGAAGGTTGTGTGTCTGGTTTCGGTGCTGGGAACTGTTGCATCTACGAGGTAAAAAAATAATAATAAAATTTAAAAAATCGGCGTCCGTTGTGAAAGGGACAAAAAAAGCCGGGGCCAGGGTCTCCTGGCCGGGTTGTTGGTGTAGGTGTGTTTTGTCTCTCAACGTACCTGCTGCGGTTCCCGGGAGAATGAAAATGAAAAAGGACTCAAAGCCATCACGTCTTTAGGAAGGTAACCCGTGGGCACATGCGCATGCGCACAGTAAAACTCAGGCCCCAGCGTTTTGGGGAGTGGTAGTGAAGAAATAGCCAAAAATTGGGAACCTATTCATCGGTGGAGGGAAGATAAAATTAACATGGTAATCTGCATTATGGAACACCGTGCATCTCTTAAAAAGAACAAGGTAGATCTATGTAGAAAGATAAAGATAACAAGGGAGGAGGGGGGAAAAACAGTCAAGTAGCCACAAACCTTATATTTAGGCTTACATCAATTTAAATGCGAAGGAAACACCCTGAAAGGGAAGAGAACAAATGGTAGTTTGCTCTGAAAACCGGAAGAAGAGTAAGGTGGTCAAGAGCTACTTTAGCTTCATCTGTAGTTCTAAGTTGTTTGCAAAACATCATTTTAAAATGTATTTTTTTAATAATAAAGCTCCCTTTAGAAAATTATAAAGAGTTAACTCTTTGGCATTAGATTAAGTCAAATCTTCAAATCATAAAAATAATTTTTAATGAGTTTAAGGGTGAGGTACTAAAAAAATAAAAAGTGAATATAAACAAAAGTAAAGTATAGCCCAGCCGGCATGGCTCAGTGATCGAGCATCATCCTATTAATCAGAAGGTCATGGTTCGATTCCTGGTCAGGGCATATGCTCAGGTTGCGGGCTCGATACCCAGTGTGGGATGTGCAGGAGGCAGCCAATCAATGATTCTCTCATCATTGATGTTTCTATCTCTCTCTCTCTCCTCTGAAATCAATTAAAAAAATATTTTTAAAGAGTATAAAATAATCCTAAGACCATACAATTTGAAAGCCACTGTTGTAGAGACATTCTTATTGACTTGGGAAGATACTATATCTTGTTGGGTAGAAAAAACAAGTTAACTGAAACAGTATGGTTCTGCCCTGGCTGGGTAGCTAAGTTTGTTAAGAGTGCTGTCCCAGTATGCCAAGGTTGGAATATGATCCCTGGTCAGGGCATATATAAGAATCAGCCAGCGAGCCCTGGCCAGTGTAGCTCATTTGGTTGAATGTCCTCCCAGGCACCAGGAGGTCGCCAGTTTGATTCTGGTCAGGGCACATGCCTGGATTGCAGGGCTTGATCCCTGGTTGGGGACCTGCAGGAGGCAGCAGATCAATGTTTCTCACAGCAATATTTCTCTCTCCCTTTCTCTTCCTCTCTCCCTCTCTAAAAAATAAAATAAAGTCAATTAAAAAAAATCAACCTCCCTTCTTTCCTCTCATTTACTCTCTTCCTTCCCTGATACCCTTCCTCCCACCCTTCCTCCCCCCCCTAAATGAATAAATAACAAAAATAGTATGGTTCTGTTTTTGTAAGACAAAAATGTGCCTAGATATTTAAAAATAAACTACACAAAGTTAAAAAGTAAACAAAACCTGGGAAGAAATATCTGCAACATAGGATAGATCAAAGGATAAAATCCCAAAGACTATTCCAAGAATATTAATTACCAAAATATTGCTCTTGGTTATCCTTAGGTTGCAAAATCACAGAAATTACTTTCTACTTAACTGTATTGTCTAGTTTTTCTTGTAAGTATTTATTGTGTAAATTTTTTAAATCTACCCATTTTTTAAAGATAGATAAATATCTAGCGCCTAGATAGATACCCACCCAATCTATCCGATTCAAAAAGCCTTCTTGATAATGTATTTCCTTATCTAGCCAGATGTGGTGTGATCTTGCCCCTCCTCTTGGAGGAACTAATAGCTGTATACCTAACCTCTGGAATCAGACTTTCTGGATTTGAATTTCTTTTTTACCACTTGTTGATTGTGGAACCTTAGGCGAATTAACCTCACAGAGATTTGGTTTTCTCATCTATAAAAATAGACATGGTAATAAGACTATTTTCCTCATGATGGTTGTGAGGATTAATGAGATACCACCTGAAGCCCTAAATGCCTGGTATTGTTCAGTACAATGACTGCTAGTATTCAGGATGAACATTTTTGTAGGTTTTTTTCTGGCTGTCCTGCACCTGGTGGCAGCTTCTCAATTTAGTGGAGGAGGTCTTTCCATTGTGGGAAGTCTTATTTCAGGGTGACAGTGTCCCAAAACACATGGTTAGATTTCATTTCTGCTTAGTATCCTCAGGCAGCAATCTTCATTCAGCCTATTCATGCAAAAAAACAATTGTGCCTCCAGCTTCTTGGTCATCTGCAGTTCCTTGGGTTTCTAAGCGTTTCTTTCTAAGCCTGTCCTCAGCTTCCTGCAGAATCTATGGATCCCTGATATCCTTTCAGTAGATATCCTCTTTTCTTAAGATAGCTAGAGGTGGTTTTTATTTTTTGAAACTAAAAGATTTCTAATTGATGCATCAACTATTACGTCATTATTTATAAGATAACACTGCCTTATATTACAGCTTGTCTTGGCCTGTCTTATTTTTGTAGTTCCTTGAGTACAAGAACCAAGATGTATACATAGAACTGTCAACTACTATTTTAAGGACTTTAGATACATTTTAAAGTATAACTCACAAAACAATCCTGTGATGTAGTTCCTATTATCATCATTGTACAGACAAGGAAATTATAGCTTAAACATGTGAGATTGCTTGTTCAAAGAACCGCAATTACCAAGTGACAGAAACCTAGATTCAAAACCTAGGTCTGTCTGGCTTCAAAATGTATGCCTTTAACCATTTCACTCTCCTGCCAACTATAAAAAATTTTTTTGTCTCTTTTACCATTTTGTATGTTGCAGTATAAATGTCTATTGCTAAATAAATTAAAATATTCATCATGTATCTGGCATACATTTAACATCCTAGTACATTTATAATAGACATTTTATAGGTCACTAACCAAACAAAAACAGATATTAACTTATCAATTATTGCTCTTTTCTGATTTAGAGCAAGGTATGGGTAGTCCTAGTTTAGAACAGGATTATGAATTTGTTTGATTCTTATGCAAAGACATACTTCTTTTTTTAATTAGTATCAGTTCACAGTAAACTTTGTGAATAAATATGCTACAAGAGCATTTTACAGGTGCCATTTTCTATTTAAAGTGTTATCAACAAATAATATACATTAATTAGCTTTCTCAGTGCCCCAGAATGACACAGTCCATTGAGATAGCCATGCTCAGAACTGTTTTCTTTAGACTCCTCATTTATGGGTTGTGCTGGAGGTTTTCAACTCTGATTACATATTAGAATCGTCTGATAACTTTTTAAAAATTCCAATGCCTGGTGTCACTCTAGTGATTCTCATTTAATTAGAAAGAGGTGAGACCTGAGTATCCTTTAAAAAAAAAAAAGTTTCCCAAGGGATCCTAATGAGAACCTGTGACTGATTCCATTTTAACTGACCTCTTTCTTGGGGTTATTTTCTCATGTGACACTACATGATTCTTCCTGCCTGGTACAAATCCTTGATATTCCACATCCATTTAGAAAGAGTAACCCTTATTGGTTTCCCTATTTCTACTCTCTTGCTCATACTCATCCTCTATTTTCCTGCCAAAATTATTCTTAAACGTAAATCTGATCATGTGACTCTTACCTAAATATATTAGATGGCTGCTTTATAAGATAACTTTTAACCCTTAAGCATGGCATTCAAAGCCCTTCTCAATCTGGTTTGAAACAACTTTTGCTAGTCTAATGTCCCTTGCCACCCCACTTAAACTATCTAAACTATATCTGTCACCTATACCATATAGTCCCTTGGCCTAGAGAGCCCCCTCCCCCACTTCCACACCTCTTTCTATAAAGAACTTTCTGTTTATTCTTTAGAGGTCAGTTTATATGCGACTCCCTCTGAGAAGTTTTCTGGTTCTCTCATTCTCCAATAGGCAGAATCGTTCCCTCTGCGCTTTCATTGCACTTTTAATTATTTAGATGCCTGTTGAACCTGTTAGACTATGAGCTTCATGAGAATAGGAATTCTGTCACCACTTTGTATTCATAGAAAATGATAGCTGCCTACTAGATCATGGATGTCCAGTATTCCTGGGAAAAAAAAACAACCTCAAAAAAGACTAAAATACTACACACACAAATTATTATAATTGAAATTTATAAATGGTTCTTAAAATAGTCTTTAAAAATCAATTCACAAAATGTGTATTGATCTCCAAAGCCACATTAGAGGCTAGCACTTGTATTTATTTCATTGTTAGAGACTCCTTCCTAGGGAGAGTTTTCACTTTGAGAACTTATTAAAATACAATTTGTGTTGCCCATCCAGTGTGGCTCAGTGGTTGAGCATTGACCT